CAACTGAACTGGTCAAACAGACTTATGGGAAATACTTCCCATCATGCTTCCCCACATCGGCTACTTCTAACTGCAAAAATTCAATCTCTTTTACCCAATCTTTTTTTTTTTCCACTCTTTGCCCATGATTTCACATTAAATTCAAATACAAAAATACAGTCTATTAATATTTTTATAATTATTTACATTTTAGTGCAGACTGCATTTAGTTTATTTCCTTTATTGCCACAGAGAAACGTTTAAGGCTGCGATGAATAAACTATACCAGCTGCATTTACTACATACTGGCAAAAATCCTCAAAACATCAATGGCAGCATTGTTGCAATATCTGCATTTAGGCAATATGTGGTGGGTTGTACTATATCACAGGCCATGTAGTGAAACCTACAGGGTATTGCTTGTCTGATATGTACTCCATTGCCAAAAGCATTTTCTCGCCTTGTAGCAAAGTTTTGCTAATTCCTGAAGGATTACACCAAATCACACTCTCTGCTCACATTAAAGCAATTTATACACAAATTACAGAAGTCAAAGTGATCATGCGTAAGTGAAAGGTGGGTACATCTCAAAAACGACTTTCTTTACTGGAAATGGCTTTAAAATAACATTTTTTTTCCTCCCTAGTTTCAGTATCGGCATATTTATATGAAGCAGATTTTGCAGGACTTTTCATTTTCAGTTTCCTTTCAGCTTGAAACCACAATGTAGATCTTTCACAGGAATTTCATTTTACAATGTGAACATGTAAAAGTGCAATCAGCCTGAGGTGAAACAACCCCTAAAATCCTCCAAGATGACAGAGGCTGATTTAACTGAGGGGAAATTATCCGTGACTTATTTTTACATGTATAGTCTTGTTTTCCCTTTAAAACAACAAAAATCCCAGGAACAACAATTTGACACAATTGATGGTCTGTATATCATGCTAAGATAATGTGTTTTCAGAAAAACGAGGCATGTGGTTGGAAAACAGGAATTTCCTGGCAAAGGCAAACTTAAATCAGGTTCACTTCCCTGCTATTTCACCGTCAGGCCAGTCCACAAAACCAAAAATTGTGGGGGGTGGGTAGTGTTAAAGTTACAAGTCAATGCTTGTTATTATTTATTTATTTATTATTATCATGCTCAGGTTGCGGAAAGAGAAGAAGAAAAGTGGAAAATTCAAGACAAATTCACTCTTCTCCAAACTGCCAACAGCAGCAGTTTTTCATATCAGGCAAAACAGATTTAGAAGCATCCAACGTCAGACCTCCGCTAATCAATCCTACCTGGATTTCATCACACTTTATGAGCTTTTCGACTTCTGTCTGGCTCAAGAGCATGAACTCCTCGTGCTGAACCACCTCGGAGAAATGCTTCTGGGAAAAGAGCTCGGCGGCCTGCATCAGGTCAAGGCAGTTGTGAGTTTCGGCGAAGTCGCGGATCCCCAGGCAGTTGGACGGATCGAGCTGACTCTCCAGAAAATCGCAGCACGCCCTTTTCACCCCTGGAGAAAAACAGCATTATGTTTGTATATAAACACCTGCCAATCACACTGACCCAAAACCCAGACAGACAGGACTTACGAGTCACTAAAAGTCTCCAATTCAGAACCGCTGAAGTCATTTTAGTTTTAAAATGCCAAACTTAATCACTGTCACTGAGAATCACATTCAGTTACCGTTTCAACACCACGGAAGTTAATCATAGCTGAAAATAACGAGACTTTTAAAAACATGCGTCTTAACACCTGAGGAAAATACTGACTGAAGATTGTCTCTGCCTAAATTAAATAAAACAACCTTGATCAAATAAAAACTGGAACATCCACCTATGAAAAACATACCTTTAAGTTGCAGCAGACATGCTGCAGGAAGCAGTTCTTGCACGTTTTCCACTGTGACAAGAACCGTCTCTGTGTACACAAAGTCCAACAAGATCTCCATAGTCGATGCAGTGAGTCCCTGAATGTCGACAAACGATTTCCCCTTTTCTGCAAGCTGTAGGTTAACAATGAAACACAACATTAGGAGGTTAGCTTCACGTCTTACCAGAAAGTCAACAGCAAGAGACTTCAGTGGATTTTAAATATGAGAATTTGGTGCAAATGTTTGACTTTTGTGAGCTATTATTTCACCTCAAATAAGAGCTCAAATATACCTTAAATTCCGGACTATAGAGCGCACCTGATTACAAGCCGCACGCTCTAATTTTAGAAAGAAAATCAATTTTGTACTTTTATAAGCCGCACCGGATTTTAAGCCGCAGGTTTCCCACGTTGTAGGAGATATTTAAAAATAAAGATATTACATGTGAGCATATTTTTAACGTTTGATTTAATCCATATGATAAAACAAACAAATACGGTACATATAATGAATGGGTTTTTTTTCAAACTACCTGTAACACATTTTAAGGAATAGTACACCCAAAACATGATTAGCCTTCATTTTCTA